TCCGGAGGAAGAGGTGGGTCCGCTGAAGGGCCGGAGTTTGAGGACGGAGGTTAGACGGACCGGCGGGTGAGCAGCAGCTCTCGGCAGAGGCTGGGCGAGCAGACCCTGCCCCGCAGCTGTAACGGGCCTTTCCATGGCGGAGCTCCTCAGCGCGAGGACCTCTGACCTCAGAGGGTGCTGGCCACACTCCTGGCAAAGCGTCCCTCAGAGAACTGCCAGGCTCGGGGGGCGGGGCATCTTCGTGGGTAGACGTGTCTCCTGCTTGTGTTGAGCCATTTATACGAATTGTGTGGCTCGGTGCCTTCCCGTCTGTGATGTGGGTCATGGCGGACTCTGTCCCATTCGATGGTTTCAGGAAGCAGGAAGCAAGAGGCCAGGGAAGCAGAGCATTTAGCTCGGTGCCGCACGTAGTATGCACTCAGTCAGAGCTGCCTTTAACTGTGCTGCCGCTGTCCGTAAGAAGCCGTTTACAGCGCTCCCTTTGTAGTGCAGCCCAAGGACATGAGCAGCTTGCTCAGAATTCACTTGGCAGAGCCTGAGAGTTAGAAGAGCTATAAAACACCCCTTTCTTCCAGCCCAGCTTTGGAACCACCTGAAAGAGAAACTTGGGAGTTGGAACACAGAAAGCCAAGTTCGCTTTGTGGCCAGATGTGGGTGGAGCATGCACCCGAAGATCGCCCTCTGCAGGCTGGCACGCCCGCCTCCTCTAAGTCAGGAGCCAGGGCGTTTTTGCCTCCGCCCTCCACCCTCCGCCCTCAGGGGCCTCCTCAGCTGAAGTCCTCCCACCCGGAGCCTGAGGACAGCGAAGGCGGCCTAAGGAGACGGAGCCACAGAACCCGGCAGCTCCCCGTGTTCCTATCAGCACCCCCCGTCTACCCTGCTCCACGCAAGCCCCACACACCGCCTTTGGCCCCGAGCATGCCCTGCCCCGTCCTGACACGGGGAGGGGAGCTCAAGGGTGGGGAGCAGCGCTCCTCCTGGAAGTTGCCCTGTGGGCGGTGTTTGCTGATTGACACTCAGAGCACTGGTCACGAGGGCCAGTCTCTCCCACCTCCGCCTCCCGCTGGGGGCACGCCCTCTCGGGCAGGCCCGTCGCGCTGGGCCACAGCAGGACTTGGGCATGAGCACGTGTGGGGACACAGAGCCTCTGGCGCAGTCTTCCTCTGTCCACGGCAGTGAGACACGTTCTGAGCCCCTGCACACAGACGTTCTCACCGAAACCCTGCTCCTCCCTCCGAAGGAAAACCTCGAGCTGAAGCCAGCCAGGAGTGTACTGTCTTGGCGGCACAGCATGGGATAAGTAAGGTCGCCTATGCGGTGTGGGCTGCCATCCACCCCAGTGCCCTTGCGTGGGCCTCACTTTCCATGCTTATTACAAAGGAATGGGGTGATGTTGATTCATCCGGATGTTATGGGGAATAACTGACAGCAAATGTGGAGCAGTTCAGGCCTAGCACACACGTGGCTGGTGCTCTGCTTGCCGGCCCCAGTCCGGGACATCCCGAGTGCAGTGCACTGTGGATCAGATGTGAGCGGAGAAAGCAGCCGATGTTGCTCACTCACTGTGGTTCCCAGGCCCTGGCCGTCCCCTGTGAGCCCTGAGCTGAAAACTAGTTGTGACCGACCAGGAACCTGCGCTTCCCTCTGTGCCCGACACTGGGTGCCTGGTTCCCTCCGGGCTTCACCCCTGCGTCCCCGAACAGATGGCTCGCCCTCGCTCTGATGCACCTTCTCACCTGTGAAAGGGTGTGATGGTGGGGCTGCCTCGCGGGGCCGCTGTGCACAGAGCTTGGGAAGCTGTGTGGGCCATAGCGGACTCGCCAAGAAGACGGGGCCGCTTGGTGACGTGGCGGTGAGACTGCTCCGTGGAGCTGCAGGCAGAGGATCCAGCTTAGAAATGAAGCGGCCAGCGCAGTGGGCCTAGCCATTGGCTCAGTGTGGGGGGGACTGCTGTTTTGGCCTAAGAAGGCTAAGAGAAGAAAGTGCTTTAGGGGGGAGGTTAATACCTAAGGACGTTTTTAAAGGCACTGCAGGGGGCAGTGGTAGGACCCCACCACCCGGTGCCCGTCTTCAGCAGCGGTGCACAAGGGCTGATCCTGTCTCATCCGCTCACCCCACCCCACCCCCAGTATTATTTTGAAGCAACCCCAGGGATGCCATTTTATTTGTAAATTTTCCAGCACATATCCATAAAAGGTAAGGATTTTAAAAACAAAAATATTAGAAACAATCATAACATATAATACTATTACACCTGAAGAAAAACTCACTGTAATTACTTAGCATCATTAAATGTTAAGTGGGAGGTTTTCAAACCAGTTGAATAATAATACACAGCAGACAATAAAGTGACTTCAGCGTCAGATGGCAGGACACAGCAGTGTGTCCGTCCGTGTGTTGGGGCCCCTGGAGCTCAGGGTCAAGGAGAGTCCCACTTCCGCTCGCGCCGATTCCGCTCCGGGCCGTGAGGAAGGTACTGCCACATGAATAACCAGTGGAGGTGGCTGGTGTGGAGGAGACAGTAGCTGGCACTGCCTTCCTTTCTCTCAGCTACAGTTCCGTTACTGCCTTAAATCCCGGTGTTTGTTGGAAATGAAGGGTTCTGTCTTCATCCCCGCCCGTCCTCTCCAATAGACACTTAACACGGTGTGGCGTGTGGTCGGGACGCAGCTCCCGCTGTAAAACCCTCCCCGGGGATGCTCGGCCGGGACCAGATCCTCTCTGAGCACGCCCGTGTGAGGGTTTCACCTGCAACGCTCACCGCACGCCCTCGCTGGCATGCGAGGAGGGGAGTTTGCACAGAGCCGACGTGTGCTGCTTTCTCTGTTTGCTCAGCTATCCGGAGGCCACCTCGTGACAGCTTTGCTACTTCTTGGTTCAACTCCTAAGTCAGGAGTAATCAGATCCTGAAGCCTTTTTCTGTCCCCCCGCCCTCTTCTCCCCCCCCCCCCAACATGTAGGGACTATGCAGACACAGCAGTGAGTAATGGAAGTCTCGTGGGGGTCGTAGATGAATACTTGTATCACATGGAAAGTGCTGGCAGGTGCTAGGAAGGCCTCCTGGAGGAGGTGGCATTTGAGCGGAGCCTGAGGATGTGCTGGGGTGTGGGTGGCATGGGGTCGCATCAAGGAAGAAGGCTGTTCCAGGCAGAGAGGAGCACTCACAGAGGCACAGAGCTCGGGAATGGCGTGCCCACACTGCCCGGCTGTGAAATGCCCCACTCGTGGCTCAGCCCCCAGGCACTCCCCGGTTAGCTCTTGGGTCTTCTCACCACCTGGCCCCGCAGGCACTTGCCCAGTGGCCCCTCCCTTCCTCCTAGGAGCCCTCTCCCTGTCATCCAGTGATATCAAGATCAGGAAACTGGCACTGGTTTTAGATTTTAATGGGGCAAATGTGCTTCCATATACTGTGATTTTCTTGTCAAACTTGAAATGATGGCACTTCCCTTTAAAACTAAGAGTTATTCTCTGTAGGTACACACATATAACTCTTTTCAGAATTAGCACTATACCTATAGAAGTCTCAAAACTTCTTTGAGACTTTTTCTTTGTATCCTTTGTATCCTTGGCATTAGCTTATACATTGTGCTCATATTAAATATCAAGTTAAATTGATGATATTGAATTATTTAACAGCTCTTAAGTTACCAAGAATTCCATTTAATCCTGAATCAGCTTAACTCCATTTTAATGCATTCATTTTATAGACATTTGCCATGACAGAGCAAAGAAGTGGGGATCACATATGTTATACTTTAAGTGAAGCCTCTTGCAGTTATGTTTTTGAGATGCCTTGGGGGCACCTTGTTCCTGGCGCAAACACCACCCCCACACACCATTCCCCCGGGAGACTGGACCTAGCTAAAGATGGTGGTGCTCTAGCCTGTGTAGTAGATTCCTTTTAAGACTTTCCTTGGACCTTTTAAAGCTTTTTATGGAAAACTTTTTGATTCCTAAAAATCCTGTTTTGGATGTTAAGGCCCTAAGTAGGTGTGCCATGGACAGAATGTGGGTGTCCCCGAAATTCACATGTTGGAGTCCTAACCCCCAACGTGATGGTATTTGAGTATGAGGTTTTTGGGGGTGATTAGTTCATGGGGTGGAGCCCCACAAATGGGATTGGTGCCCTTTCAGAAGAACGGTGAGAGAGGGGACCTCTCTCTTCACCATGTCAGGGTGCAGCAAGAAGGCAGCGTGCACAAACCAGGAGGGGCCGGCACCAGACACCGAACCCGCCTGCACCTTGACAGTGACCTTCCAGCCCTAGAGCCATAGGAATAAATGTCTGTGTGTAAGCCCCAGCCCATAGTGTTGTCACAGCGGCCCAGGCTGACGTAGACAAGTGTATTAGAGTCTCACTGCTGCTATAACAAATGACCACAAGCTCAGTGGTTTAGAGCAACACACATTTGTTACCTTCCTCGGGCGTTTTACTTTGTGTTTTTTATTCGTAGCTCCGTGCACAGTTCTGACACATGGTCGGTGCTTTGGAGTCAGTTTTTAAGATGCTGGAAACCGGCCATCACAAAAGGATCCTCTGGGCTGTGTGTCCTCTGTTCATCCTGGTAGGGCCAGGGCGGGTGGGGCCGGCTGCTCAGCGATAAACCGTTGCCCCGAACCTTGTAACTGCTTGGCAATGGCCTTTTCTAAAGGGAAGGTTCTGCCTTAGGGTCCACTTTAGATACGGACAGAAAATGAGGAATTGGCCTTCACTGGGCACATGCTGTGAGTACACAGACATGCATTACCCGTGCAACCTCCAAGTTCCCTAGAGACCATTTCTTCAAAATGGCATAGACCACAACAGTCACAGGAAGAAAGAGCCATCACAGAGAGATCAAGGCCAGCAATGTCAGCGATTATACAGGAGCCTAAAACCAAAGTTGTCCAGTTTGTGGTTTCGAAATCTTTCTACAACCGGCATTCCACCCTCTGTTAACATCACATGTGATTATAACATCTATCTAGCTACATAAACATTTTGTGTTGTTTTTTTTTAGATTTCACACATTGGCAAACTGAGAGACTTTCTCCTGGAACACAGAAAGGACTATATCAACGCTCACAAGTAAGTGCACACGTGTCACGTGGCTTTGCTGGCTGCTCTGTTCCACACCGGACTCCGAGGCGTAATGGGGAAGATCAGTTTGGCAGGGTTCCCACCGAGCACCGGCTCCTCAGCGCCTGCCACCCCCACAGCGACAGGTCCTGTTCGGACAGCCCGGTGGTGTCTCTGTGTGCACTTCGCTGCTGGGAACGCAGGAGGGGGCAGAGCGTCTCACTCAGGATGAAGGTGAAAATGCCGTGAGATGGGCGCTGGCAGGGGGGCTGTGGTTAGGTTATTTTTAAAAGATAAAGCATTTCGACGGAAGCCTCTAGATCAGTGGTTTTCAACCTTCCTAAGGCTGCGGCCCTTTAATACAGCTCCTCATGTTGTGGTGACCCCCAACCATAACATTATCTTCGTTGCTACTTCATAACTGTCATTTTGCTGCTGTTATGAATTGTAATGTAAATATCTGTGTTTTCCGATGGTCTTAGGCTCTACAGCAGCAGTTCTCAACCTGTGGGTCGCCTAAAACCATGGGAAAACAGATATTTACATTACGATTCATAACAGTGAGACAGGGGATTGGCCCCAGAACCCTTTTCCCGCAGGACCGGCGAAGGGGAAGGCAGCCCTGCTGTCACTGTGTACAGGCGGAGTGTTCTGTATGAACTCTTCACCAGAGAAAACTGTTACACCTCGAATGAACTTTAATAACCCTTGCCACTTTGTCCACTGAAGCAGACAACTTTATACATTTAAGTGCATTTCATTTGAATAATTAAAAATATACTAACGTTATTACCCTAATGCCTAGTACCAAGAAGGTGGTATTTTTAAGTTCTTAGTTCAAATAGTCAACACTAGATGGCAGTGTAAACTATTTCTAAAGGTGTGTTTGAATACCAAGTACTAATCTCATGGTCCATAAAGTGGGAGCTACAGTCATTTGGGGAAATTTAACCTTCATTCTCCAGCACTTCCAGGAATCCATCGTAAACTTTCCGTGGCCGTGAAAAGGCCTCCGGCTGTGAGGCTGAAACGATGGTTAGTTCACGCCACCTCTCCGTCAGCCTGTAGACCCAGCGTCTGTCTTCCTCTCAGCAGCTCAGCCTCTGCGCCTGCGCCCCGCCGCCCACTGCCTGTGTGTGAACAGCCGGGAGCTGAGAATAGTTTTCACGGTTTTCATGGCTCGGGAGGAACAATAAACCTCACCACATATGAACATCCTGTGAAGTTCTGGTTTCAGTGTCCGTTAGTCACATGTGTCAGAGCGCCCCATGCCCGCTCGTTCGTGCGTTTCTGGGATGGCTGCGGAGACACGCGGTCCTCGTATGACGCATTTATGTCAGACCTTTCGGAGAACATCTGCGGAGCCCTGCCCAAGATACTCAGGCTGATGCTCACTCACAGCCAGAGAAGATTCACATAAGACAAGCAGCTGAAATTCGGTGCAGAAGGAAAAGGCAGCGGCTCAGTGCCGGATGGCTGTGTCAGGCTGCTGCTCTGGAACTGCAGGGGTTTTGAACTTGAGATTGTAGCAGTGCCACCGAGGCACCTCTCACACCGTGCCAGTGCTCCCAGACCGCCAGGCCAGGCTCCCCCCAGTCCTTTCCTCCAGTGCCCTCCGGAGAGCGGGTCCGGCCTGAGCCTTCGGTGGCAGCCTCAGTGGCAGCGGCTGCTGGGACCTCCTGGCTCTGCGCTCGAGGGTCAGGCAGAGCCGTAGCTCTGAGGCTTTCTTAGTCTTCACCAATCCATCATCCTGTTTCCTGGTTGCAACCGGTTGCTCCCGGCTCATGCCCTCTGAGTTCCATTCCTAACCCTGTTCCAGTCCTTTTGAAAGAGCGAGGGCTGCTGGGCCAGGCACACCTAGGAGCCGGCGTCACCTCGCCGAGTGTTAACCGTGTGTGTGTGTGTGTGTGTGTGTGTGTGTGCGCGCGCAGCTCACTTCTCCAGCTGTTCGCTTCTTTGTAAAACCTAGACGGTGTCTCACAAGGATTGAACATGAGTGCTCTTGGCACACGTAAGCCCCTTGGTGAATAGAAGTTGAATTGGAACCCCATTTGCACTGTGATGCAGTTGGGGGTGATCATTGAGAAAAGAAAGCGCCTCCGTCTCCTGCCAGACAGAGGTGGAGGGCGGGAAGGGGGAACGGGGGAGGCGGGGCAGCCAGCAGGAGGCCCGTGGGTGCATCACCGGCTTTGTCGCTGGTGAAATCCGGGTTGCAGGCAGTGCTGGGTCAGCGGGCAGCTGGCCTTGACACAGGTCCTGAGTCCAACACTTCTGTGGCCGGGGTGCCGCTGAAGCCATGGCTCCTGGGGCGCAGAGAGCAGGCAGGTCCCTTTAGAGCAGAGAGAGGAGCAGAGCCCGCCTCCTCGGTCCGAGCGGCAGGCCCCACCGAGGGGAGCATGGCTGGACGTGGGGCCACGCTCCTGCCAGGCCCTCTGCCAGTGGTCAGGCCAGGAGGGCGGGAGGCTGCGGCTGGGAGTCCCAGGGACTGATGGCCCTAGAGCAGGAGGACAGGGAGGAAGGGGTGCCCTCGGTGCCCTAGGTTCTCTCCAGACAGAGAAGGGCCCGCTCCCTCCTCCCCATCGACGCTCCCCCCCAGGGCGAGACTACGAGGCCTCCTTTTCCCCTCCCTCCTGCCTGCGCCGGGCGGCCAGGCCGCCCCAGCAGCGCTTGGATGAAGCAGGACAGTGGAATTGAAAGAACATGTTTTAGAAATATTAGGCCCTGTTAGTTGGACATAATTAGGAAGCTGTAATTTTTTCCATAATGTAGAGCTCAGACTTTATTGACCCATTTAATTTTTTTTAATAACGACATTTTACTAGAGCAGAGCAGCATGCAACCTAGGTCGCCTCTGGCTGGGTCTCCTAAATGATCTTATTTAAAAATAAGTCCTCCACTTCTGATAGACGGACCATTTCTGTGATATCCTGGCAACAAGACCATACCACGGGGGCGGGGCCGGGGGGGGGGGGCTCTCTTGGTTTTTGTGTTACTAATAGGATAACCATACCGCTAATTTCCCGTTTGAAAGGTTAACTTAAAATGTGCCCTAAAGAAACATAACCTTTTAACTGAGTCCTCAGTTTTATCGGATTAACCTTTAGGACTTTTCCATTTCGCTGAGCTGAGGTCCCATTAAGTCACAATATAGCAAAGGCGGGTGCTAATCTAATGTTCTCGGAGTTAGTCATTTGGAGTCGCTCTGACCCCGGGCGCGTTTCACAGGAAGCGGGCAGCTTTCTTTGTCCTTCTCCCTGACCCGCTAGCCCAGCTGGGAGCAGGGGGCAAGCCGGAACCCCGCACATGCCTTTGCTTGGAATTGAACCTGTGACCCTTAGTGTGTGGGCCGATGCTCTAACCGCTGAGTCACACCGGCCAGGGCCAAAGCCTCGTTTTTAATGAGGGCTGCATGCTCCGCCCAGATGGCTCCCAGGCCCACCTCCCCCTCCGCACGGCGGCTCCAGCGTGGGCTGTGCAGGCGCTTTTCCGTCTGACGCCTTCCAAGTGCGGGTTATCCTCGTGACCGTTCTCTCACCTCTGAGCCAGCTGGCCCCTCCGCTCCTCCAGGTCTCAGTGTGGCTGTCACTCGGCAGGAGCGCTATCTCCCTCACGCCCACTGGGCTGTGTGATGTGCCCTTTGCTGCTGCCCTTTCATTTTGCCCCCACGCCCACTCTCTCTCTCTCACGCTCTCTCTTTCTAGCCATATCCTGTCTGAATATGGGAGGATGACAGACGCAGAGCGAGACCAGATAGACCAGGATGCGCAGACGTTCATGAGGACCTGCTCAGAGGCCATCCAGCAGCTGAGGAACCAAGGTGAGGTGCCTGGGGCTCCGACAGGCAGCCATGGCCATCCTGGGCTCCTCACGGTACCACCGGTTCCAGTTCTGTGCACCTGTGTAGAGTCAGGTTTTAAGCTTCCAAATCTTTCTTTTCCTGATCAGTGTTTTAACCTAAGCGGGCAAAAGTAACAAAAAGGCCAAAAGTAATAAAAGAGGCCATAACAGGACGTCTCCAAGCAACTGAATGCTGACTAAGCAGCCAGGGCCAGAGGAGATGAGTGTGAGTGTGTGTGTGTGTGTGTGTGTGTGTGTGTGCGCGTGCGCGCACCTGTGCTTGTATGGCAGCCCTTAGTAATCACGTAAGTCATGCTCCGTGCCCAAAAGAGTCTATGCTGACATAACCTAGAACATGCACACGAGCCTAATAAAACTGTGGCCGGGCCTGTTGGCTTGGCCTGGGTCTTCTCGTGTGTAAGTAAGCGTGGCCACGGCTGCCTTCAGATGGCAGTGTCAGCGGCTAGCAGGGATGGGTGTCAAGTACGAGCAGGTGCTCAGCTCTCAGTACCTGGGGCTGACCTGCCAGGGTCCGTGGCTCAGGCTTCGGAGACGCGAGTTTGCAGGAGGAAGGCTTCTTGTGGCCAGGAGCCCAGGGAGGGTTGACTCTGCGTCTACGGGACCCGGTGAGTGGCTGGGGGAGAGGGCGCCTTCCCAGGCCCCGGGAGCGTGTGGCCCGCTCTCGGATGGGCGCACCAAACACCGGTCTTGCGTGCTGCCAGACCGTCAGCTGTGTGGCTGCTTTTTCTGCAGCCTCCTCTCTCCTCCCCTGAAGCCTGCCGCGCTCACTCTTTTAAAAAGGCAGCGGCCCACGCCGCTCCTGCTCTGTAGCGGGTTTCAGATGCTCTCAGTGGAGAACGGTCGGAGGGGCGGCGGAGGCCTGAGCGGTGCTTTCTGTTGCAGCCCACAAGGAGACTCACTCCCAGCAGGTGCGGGAGCACAGGAGCGCCGTGCTGGACTTCACGCAGGACTACCTGAAAAGTACGTCCGCCCTGAGCATCACGGGCGTGCCGCGTGGGTGAGACGCGCTCTCAGCTCTGGGGGGGGGGGGGGGCACCACAGCGTCTCGCTGTGTCTGTGAGCCCTGTGCCCGAGGAGCCCTGTTAATCGGTCTGTGTTCGCGTGCTTCCCCCGCAACAGGAGTCTGCAAGCTGTACTCGGAGCAGAGAGCCATCCGCGTGAAGCGAGTGGTGGACAAGAAGAGGCTGTGAGTACTGTCGGGTGGTGAGAGCGGGGCGCCCGGGCTCTGCCGTGGGCCGTGCGGGGCGCCCACAGGCGCAGGCGGGCGCTCGCGGGGCCTCCCTCGCTCACAGCAGCCCGGGAGGCGGCTGTGGTCCTGATTCTCAGGACGTCAGGGACCTCACCCAAGGGGCAGCCAGGCGGAGCGGAGGCCCGGGGGCCAGTTTGTGCCTCTGCCCATTTTGTTGTCTCAGTAACCCTGAGGCTGACCCCGTTTCAGCTGTTTTGCCACCAAGTTCGGTGGGTGGAGCTACCAAAAAGCATGGCCTAGTGCAGGGGTCCTCAAACTTTTTAAAGTGGGGGCCAGATCACGGTCCCTCAGAGAGCTGGAGGGCCGGACTATATGAACTACTAATTCCTACTGTAACACCTCGGCTGCGCTCACTGCCCAAAAAACCTGGCGGGCCGGATCAGACTCCTCTGCGGGCCGTAGTTTGAAGACGCCTGGGCCCTAGTGCCTCAGAGCGCAGGCTCGGCCGCCAGACAGCCCGTGCCCCTCCTGGCTCTGCCGCGTACACGCCGTGTGGCTCGGGCAGGTCACTTAGCCTCCCAGTGCCTGCCTGCCTTCCATGCACCGGGGAGCATTCAGCGTCCCACCTGTTGGGACGTTAGGAGCACTAGTGAGTTGATGCAGGTGGAACACTCGTATGAGCCGTTACCACATGTTAATGTGCACTGTTCTATATCGTTAGGCATCATGTGCCAGGCAGTATACTAATTTACCTAATTTAACCCTCAGGCCACTCTGTTAGTGAACATTAGCAGCCTGTGGAGGTGGAGGCTCAGAGAACCCGGGACCTGCTCAGCGCCGCAGCGGGCTGAGTCTGAGCCTCAGGCGGCCGGGCAGACTGCAGTGGGCGGGGGCGGGTGCTGGGAGGCCCGTGTCTGGGAAGTGACGAGGGAAGGCGCGGAGGGGCAGTGCTCCAGGCCGGTCTGGGAGGAAGGGGCGGCCCCTGCTGATGAGCCATTTACCATGGAGAGGGCGTGGTCACCGGCTCTCACCCCCAGAGGGAGAGATGCCAGGCTCTGCTGCCTTGTGCCAGGCGGCCTGCCACAGAGCCTTAACAAGCACCCAAGTAGAGCAAGAAGAGCTTTGCTGCTGCCTCCTCAGTGCGGTTTTCTAAATGAGTCGGTCAGGTGGGGATTGTTCTCATTTGGCCGTGAAGTGCAGCCTGGCCTGCTGCCAGGTGTCCTGTGCCAGTTACTCTGAGCACAAGGCCCTGCGGAGTGCCTGTGGCCCTCCGGACGGTCCACCTCCTTCCCGCCCGCCCCGCCCCGCCCTCGCTCGGCAGTGCTGCTGGCCCTCAGCAGTGCCCGCCTGGGAGGGCAGCTCCGGCCGAAGGGCGCTTCCGTTGCTTGTTCTGTTAGGTCGCCGTGGACTGAGGTGTGTCCATGGCACAGGGTGCGCTCACAGCTCACACCCAGGAACCCGCCCAGGAGGACCCTGAGCTGGAGATGAGCCACGATTCGCTGTCAGTGTCAGCTTGCCGTCATGTTTCCAGCGCTTACACTTCATCTCGGCACGGTCTCGGAGCAGAGCAGTGACAGCAGCTCACGGGTCTGGTCTGGCCGGGCACCTCCCTGACAGCCTCTCCCACGCCAGACCCACCCGGTTAGGGTAGCCCCAGGCTCCCTGCTCCTGGGCGTGCTCGGGCCTGTGGCTGGGAGGGCACTCAGGGCGAAAGCCACTTTGAAGGGATCATGCCATCTCATTGCACGTCACCACGCCTTCCTACCCAGAGCCTTCACCGGCGGCATAGTAGCAGTGGCGTGCCGGTATATGAATTACTTTTCTCCAACATTTGTATAGGGCTTTATTTAAGTTTTCAAGGAACTTCTCCCACTTCTCCCAAACAAAAAAAGTATTTTCTTGTTTCAAAATTGAAAAACCCATTTCATATCTTCTTTCCTATGTCCTGTTCCTTTAAAATGGAAACCAGAATCACAAGGCTCCTCAGCTAGGGGCCTTAGAGCCAGACAGGCAGGTGGGAACTGCCGGTGGCTCCGCCTCCGTCAGAGAAATTAACTTAAATAAGTCACGGCATACACTGGCCCTCTGGCACAGCCTGCCAGGCAGGGGCCTTTGTGTGCAAGTCAGTTACATGTCGCCCTGGGAACAGTGCCGCCTGGCAGGGGGCGTGGGACAGGGGGAGGGTGTCCCAAGAGGGGGCTCCCAGAGCAGGTCAGGTGGGCGCAGGGTGAGGACCAGGAGGAGGCCTGTGCACCTGCGTGAGGAGGTGGCGGTGGAGGTGCGGCCGGTTAGCTCAGAGGGTTGACCAGGTGAGAGCTGTGTGAGACCATGACCGTGAGGCTTCTCACTCCCAGAGACCCGGAAGGCACCAAGCCAGCAGGAACCGGGTGCGGGTTAGAATGGAAGGCGTGTGGGCTCTGCTTGCAGTCTGCACAGGGAGATGTGGAAATAAATGTGGCCATGCATGTGTGTGTGTGCACAGGTATGTAGGCTGCAGCTGGGGGGCCGGGACAGTGACCCCAGTGGCAGTAGCTGGGCAGCGCTCCATCCTGCCTGCTCCATGGGCCTGGGAGAGGGGCCTGACTCGGGGCAGGCTGAGTGTAAGATGAACCAGAGAGCACGGGAGCTCAGAGTCGCCGGGGGGTGCGGGAAGGAACCAGCCTTCTGAAGGGGCTTCTCCTGGCCACACTGGGGACAGTTAGAGCGCCATCCATGGTGGCAGCCAATGGATTATAACCCACCGCGTCACATAGGCCCCCAGGCGCCCACCCGAAGGAAGGAGTGAACGGACACATGGAAAGTGTGGTAATGACAGAGTCCCCCTCATTACAAAGGGGAAGTGGCCTTCCGGGGGGGAAGCCCGGCGGCACCCCTTCGTCAGGCGGTCACGTGAATCCCGCACAGCCTGGCGGGAGGCGAGGGGGAGAGTGTGAACAGAATAGCACCGGGTTAATGCCAGCGACGCGGAGCCTGAGCCAGCCACACGGAGTGGCCGGCACTCTCACAGCGAGGCTGTCTACTGAGTAGCTGGCACTCGCTGTGTCTCCGGGTCATGGGACAGAGGACAGGGCTGTGCCAGCCCGGTGTTGATGGAGTCTTCGGGTTGGGTACCGAAGGGAGGGCTTGTGTTAGGAAGCACCAAGGTGCTCACAGGTGGGGGGCGTCAGGTGGGCCTCTCGCTTCCGATGGCCCTTGACCTGCAGCAGGCTCTCAAAGCAGTATGCCACCTCACGTGGGTCAGGCGGTTCAGTGGTGAGATTTGTAAAGCACTTACGTTCGGCATGGGGCATTTTTAAGCCACTGTTTTCTTTAGTCTTTGCAACAGCGCTGGGTGACGTGTGATTGGCAGCCAGGTCTTCCAGGCGCAGAGCAGAGGGCGGGAAGGCCAGTTCTGTTCCCGACACGCACAGCATGAGCCGAGGTCCGTGTCGGTGCCGTGGCTCCTGACCCCGCATGCTCCAGTGGGCTCATCTCGGCCTTCCCTGTGCAGGGGTCACAGCGCCTGCAGCTCAGGAGAGCTCGCCTCTTTGTGGTTTCTTTTTTCCACCCGAGAACGTCTGCTCTCATCTGTCACAGGGTATTTTGCATCCCTTAAGAACATCGTTTAGTTTCTCACATATGGGCTTTGAGTTTTTTGTTAAGTAGTTAGTTTCTGCTGCAGGGTTTTTGGGGTTTTTTAAATCTTTCATTGCTAGTTTTCTGTCGTTGGATTTGGCACTGCAGATGGAGTTTCTCTTTTATTGTATCTTCTAACTGTAAAGCAGGCGCATTTCCAGGAACATCTGTCATTTCTCTTGTTACTGTAAGCAGCGCTGTGGTGAATCCTGTAACTGTATCCCTGCGTGTTTGTGACACTTAGAAAGCAGATTGCATTTCCCAGAGACAGCCATTGCACCTCACCGGCCCATCCCATCTTAGGATGGGATGTTGTCACGGCTCCCTCCCGGGGGAGGGCGGGGGAGGGGCAGGGCCTGCTGCGGCCTCCTCTGGGGCCAGGTTCCCGAGGTCACCCCCCAGCTGAGCCACTTGCTCCCTGTTGCTCGTTGCTTCCTAACGTCCTCAGACCTGTTTCCCCTGCAGAAAGCTCCTTAGCATGGTGCCTGCCTCCTGGGGTGGGTGTGTTACCTTACCCCCGGGAGGGCGTAGGCAGTGCTCAGTACACAGTAGCCTCAGTCAGCATCAGCTGGCGCTGCTGCTGTCCTCAGCGTGTTCCCTGCTTTGCGCACAGTCTGCCTGCTGCTGGGGGCTTGTTCCCAGATCTGTGTCGCATTCTGCCTCTGATTTCCATAGCGCTATGGGTCCACAGAGCTACCACGAGGCTCACAACCAGCACTGTTTCGGTTCCTGGCCTTTTACTGGCAGCTATGAAGCGTCCACTCGCCCAACACGTATTATTAACGCCGAGTGCCTGCCCCTCGCCGGGATCTATGCTCGGCAGCAGGACTCAGAGCCCACCTGCTCTCAGAGCACACGTGCTGGAGGGAGACGGGCCCGGAGCGGGGCGGGTGCCCGGGTGGACCCAGGCCTTGTGGGTGGGAAAGTGGGAGAAGCCTCTGAGTGGGTGGGACTGAGCTGAGCAGGTGGACACAGCACAGCGTGGGGGGCCGGGGCAGGACCGGGCGGTGCCTGAGACAGGTTGGTCCACCCAGTGGACATTCACGTTACTGTATACCGTTGCTTGTATGTGCCATGTAACAGCCGTGCCCGTGTGGTGTGTTCAGCGACACCGCATTGCTGCACTTGCTGCTCACGTGTTGTGCGTGGTGTCAGTACGGGCCAGGTTCCTGCGTTTTGCTCCAGCACACGCTGACCCCCCCCCCCCCCCTGCCCTGCAGAGCGTGAGCAGGGCCTTGGAATAAGTGCCTGGAGGGCGTTGAGGGCCTTGGGCAGAGCAGGAGCTCTGCTCTCCGGAGGGCCCGGTGCCTGCCTCCTGCTGTCCGGGTGGGGTTCTGTGTGTGAGTGAATGCTGTGGCTCCATTCCTTTCAGATCCAGGCTGGAGCCAGAGGCGACTGCAAAGACCAGAGAGCCCGGTTCTGAGGACGCTTCCCTGGACCCTTCACCCGTCTCTGGAGAGAAGCCTGTCGCTGAGGAGCATGCAGGTAGCAATCTGATCCAGTCATGCTGCGTCTCCCGGTGACCTGTGGCTAAAACACGAAGCGGCAGAGCCACGCGCAGCCCGTCAGGCGTGCTGCTGACATCCCCCCGCCCTGCCCTGTCACAGCGGCTCTCCGGCTCCCAGCCCCGGGCGCTGGCGGGGCCCGGGGGATGGGGCAGGGGGGGGGGGGGGACTGGGCTCCATGAGGAGGGGACGTCGGGATCTCTTCTCCAGGGCTGGCGTGTCAGTCACAGGAGGGGGTGTGGGCGCTGCATGGAGCTGACCCCCAGCCTCGGGGTGGAGCAGCGCAAGGTGTGGGGGAGCCCCGATTTTGAGGCCCCGCCCTGTTTGCTAGGGCAGAGGGAACGGTTGACTAGAACTCAGAATGAAGGAAGCGCTGTGACCAGCGGGCACACGGGGTGGAGGGCAGGAGTCAGGTCGGAGAGGGAGGACCGGGAGTCTGGCCTGTCGGCTGGCGCTGGCCGCGCTGGAGACCTGGCAGAGCCCTGGCTGGTGCTCTGAGCGGCGGCTCCTGAACACGCTGGCCAGTGCAGCTCAGAGCTGGCTGTCGCTGGTTCTCGCTGGCTTCTGTGTTCCTGATTCTGTGTTCTTATCCTTAAAAGTACAGAAGTAAAGCTTGACATGGATACAGTAATGAGGTCAACGGGACCGTAGCTCTGGGGACAGATGGGATGAGGGAAATCACAGGTGTTCTTACCTAGAGACATATCTCAGAAAACACATTCGTCTCCAAAGCTGCTGTCGGCCTGTCTTCTCTCAGTGTCATTCATATGTAGATTATGTAGAGGTTTTACTTGTATATCACATACAATTATATGTAAGTGTGTCTTTCACCGATACGATGACAGCCTGGCGGAAACAGCCCCGAAGCCGTTGCTTTGGACCTTGCACAGAGTCGCAGGCAGTGGAACCTGCGCAGCGACTCAGAGGGAGCGGCAGTCGGTGCGGACCGCTCAGGGGCCACGGGTGCGTGTTCAGTACGCGGCGCAGTGTGTGTGTGACACTGCACTCCTAGTGAAACACGCCACCACCCAGAAGGGTCCCCTCGTCTGGGGGGCGGGGAGGCAGGGACTGGTGCCTGATTGTGAGTGTGCCCAGATACAGTTTATGGGGCTGCGTTAGAGCGTGACGGGTTCCTGCTGGAGAGGAGCGGGAGGGTGGTTTGTCCTGTGCTCTGTGCGGGCAGAGGGTTCTTGTATGATGAACATGCGCAGACGTTTGCAGAGGGCGGGGGGTGTTTTGAAGTAAAATAGCATGGGCAGGCTGGGCCGGAAGAAGGCTCTTTGGCTCACAGCGTCATTGAAATAGGTGCGGCAGTGACACTGTGTATAGGTCTCCTCCATCCCCTACACACACACACACACACACACACACACACACACACACACACACGGGTCTAGACACCGACCAGGAGCAGCTGCCGGCTGACGGGTGGCGGCCGGTAATGGAAGAGGCGTAGGGAGACTGCTCCCTCCCCGTTTCCATGTCTGCGTCCTAGGCCGCCTGTTCGGAAAGGGACATTTGTCTTCTGTTTATTTTTCATTCTGTTTAACAGAAAAGAGTCCAGCGGAAGCGCAGCCCGAGCTGGGGAGCTGGGGGGACGGCAGAGGCGAGGAGGAGCTGTCCCCGGAGGAGATCCAGATGGTAATGCTGCTCCCTTCCTGCGCGCTCGGTCTCCTCCCGCTAGCGGGCCTCTTATTCAGGAGGGCGTCCTACACGCCCTTGCCCTGACACCACGTTTTAAAAGTTATAATTATGTTAGATACAACTGGTCCACTGGATTTCCCAATTCTTAGGATGCTTTTCGTATATCTTAAATGTGCAGTCGCACACTTAAAGGAGAAGTTGCCCTTGAATAGCTTCACTGATGTTAGATACCTTTCCAGCAGCAGTAAAATGTCTGGGAGAGATTAAATGGTCTTTGTAGTTGGTGCTCTAGTGCCTCTTAATGGTGTGAATCGTTGGTGCTATCGTAACGAGAAGAAAGCATAGCAATGACTGAACGAGGCTGAGTGACAGTCTGCCAGCTCTGGGCCAGTTCCCAGAGGAGGTGCTGGGAGCCAGCCTGAGGCCTGGGGTCCGGGGGTGCTGTCGGCAGCGCTGCCTCTCCCCCTGCGCCCGCTGGGCCCACTGAGTGGCCCCCTGCGCCTGGCTGGGAGGCAGAGCTGTGGTTTTCAGCCTCAGTCTGCCTCCGCCTAGGGTGCGGGCCGCTGTCCGGACAGGCGCTGGCCCCTAGCAGACCACCCCTGCGCCTGGGGCTGCTGTTCCCCAGGTGGCATCAGGCACCAGGCTCCCGTGCACGCCCTGCTGGCACGCGCCTCTGGCTGCGTCGCCTTTGAGACCTGAGAATGACTTCCTGGCTATCTTGTCTGTTGCCTTGCAGTTCGAACAGGAAAACCAGCGCCTCATCGGTGAGATGAACAGCCTGTTTGACGAAGTGAGGTATGTGTGCAGGTCTGCCACCACTCCAGACCCGGCCTTTCTCCACTTCCCGTGGGCCTCCCGGTGCTCCTCCCAGACACTCCGCCAGCTCCGCCTGGCTTCCCCCAGCCCCTCCGCCCTTCGCTGTTCCGGGAGGAGGGGAACATCGCTGCTTCCCCTGGGCTGGCGCCCCGCTTGCTGCCCACAGCCTCCCCCCTCTGCCCCTGGCACTGTTTGTGGTGAGACAGCGTCACCTCCAGTACCCTGTCCCAGCCCCTGCTGCCTGACATGGGAAGGCACCACCCCCAGTAGGGTGCCCTCAGCCAGCCAGCCAGAGGGGGTCCTCTTCCCACGGGGAGTGGCCAAGATAAATACCCCCTCCCCGACCAGAGGAAGGGGTTCTCAGCATCCTCACCTTTTCTCTGAGCCCCTCCATGTGTGCTGGGCACAGTCGAGGTGCAGGCCTGACAGGCTTTGCTGTTGGTAATGGGGTGCAGCCACGTGCTCCTGGCCCCACCTCTGGCCCAGAGGCAGGGCACACGGGATCAGCACCCACTGGGCTGGAGACATTAGGGGAATTGCCCACCCCTTCCCCTGGCGTGGGGACCCCTCCTCCCTCACCAGTGACAGAGTGCCCCCCCACACACACACATCTTCCCTTGAAAGAGATTTCTCTGGCCACGTACGAACAGTTCACCTGCGATCTCTTTCTCATGAAGGCAGATCGAAGGGAAAGTGGTTGAAATTTCCAGACTCCAGGAGGTCTTCACAGAGAAGGTTCTGCAGCAGGTGAGGACACATGGTTTCAGGAGGAGAGGCCAGTCCCGCTCCGTGAGCCCCGCTTCCCTGTTCCCTGGTCATGGGCGGGAGCGGAGGCGGGCGAGAGTGGGCAGGGTGCGAGCCCTGGGCCCTCCTGTCCTGCTCTGGCGGCTGTGTGACTTTGGGCAGCTTACTCAAGCTCTCTGAGCCTTACGCTCCCTGTCTGTTCGGTGGGGGTGCTGTGAGGTGCGCAGGTTCGTGTGTGTAAACCGGTCCTTCGTGAGCAGCCACTGCTGTCTGCGCTGACATGCTGGGGAGCGGGGGAGGGAGGAGATCGCTCATCCGCCCTCTCCTTCCAGGAAGCGGAGATTGACAGCATCCACCAGCTGGTCGTGGGGGCCACGGAGAACATCAAGGAGGGCAACGAGGACATCCGAGAGGTGGGTGCTCCGGGCCCCAGGCTGACAGACACATGTTCGGACCCCTGGGAGGGCCGTCTACCTGCTCCCCAGAGGAGCGTGGTGCTCCCACAGGGTCTGACCCGCTCCCTGGACCAGAGGTGGGTGCTCCTGGAGAAACGTGTCGGACCCCCTCTGAGGGCAGAGCCCGGGCGCTGTGTATGGAGGCCCCGCAGCCGACCGGAGGGACCTGTCACTGAGTGAGGCTGGGTGTGAGCTGGCGTGGACTGCTCCGAGGCCCGCCACCCACTGCTGGGACAGCACCAGGAGGTGGTGCCCTGAGTCCGGCCTCCGGTCTCAGCCCCGGCCAGGGGGCCGTCTCCGGGGGCGGGTCCCGGGAGGGTCTTGCAGGACCTCCGGGTGATGGGACCAGGGAGGGAAGGGCCGGCCTCTGTTCAGGGTGAGCACAGGGTGGACAGCACAGGCGTGGGGCGGGGAGGAGGGATGCGGCCGTGAGCCCGGCCCTGGCCCAGGACCCAGGAAACGCCGTCTCTGTCTCCAGGCCATCAAGAACAACGCGGGCTTCCGCGTGTGGGTGCTCTTCTTCCTGGTGATGTGCTCCTTCTCCCTGCTCTTCCTCGACTGGTACGACAGCTAGTCCCGGCTCCGCTGGCACGCAGGCCGGCCTCCCCGTGGGCCTGTGTCCGTCCTGGCCAGGTCTGGCCCCAGCGGGCGGCGCCGAGACACACGCCACCCCAGGGACACAAACCAACCTGGAGTCTTAGAGCTGAACGAGAAAATAATGACCACGAGGCAGGTGGAGGGATGGGGGTGGTATCCTGTCTACCGGGGCAGCTGGGGAGGGGCTCCCCCCACATCTCGGGGCTCAGGAGGCACGGCCTGCGGCCTGGCCTTTGTGCAGAGAAGGGATGGCCCCGAAGAGCGGCCTGCTGCTCTCCCTGCATCAGCGCTCTCAGCGACGTGGCGGGCCGGTGTGCAATGCAAGCATGGGCTGGAGCCCCGCACGGCATCCTGGGGCCCGGGGCCGCCTCCGTGCGGACGGCCGGCCTGGGCCTGAGAGAGGCGTGCTGTGCAGTCTGCTGGGCGGCCTCGGGGACCCTCGCGTTCTCTGTGTAAACGAACTACAGCCAATAAAGTCTGTGCTCGAACCTGCAGCCGGGCTGCCTCGGCCCCGTGAGCTTGCTACAGACAGCAGGTGTGCGAGCCCTCTGCCCCGTGGTCATCACTGTGTGCGCGAGCGTGTGCACCCCACAGCTCTGCGGCCGCAAGACCACACGCACCCACTGCCCTGCGGCGGGCCCTTCCCCCCGGTGTCCGGTCTCGCGTGGGGAGGAAGCATTGTCTGCATCGGCGCGCTCCAGGAAGCCATGTGCTCGCAGCAGGTCTCACGTCGTTTATTTCTGAGCCACTAACACGCACCTGGGACACGTCCACCAGAAACAACACGTTCACGTAACACAGAGGGAGTGTCTGAATGTCTTCTATTTAATCGTCTTACACACTTACTTATCTAACTGACAATGTTACAAACATAGACTTTAATGTCAAGATTCGGGCTGAAACGATATTCTTACAAAGGTGGTGAGCTGAAATGTAACTGGACTTGCGAGGTGCCCCCCCGCCCGCCCCCCTTTTCTGCCTGCTGACTGGAAGGAGTTAGGTCTGTTCCTCAGAATGAAGCGCCGAGGCCTCCAGCTGCGAACTTTCCCTTTCCCACCCGGCTTCGTGTCTGAGCCAACTCGTTAGCGGGGCCTTCGGTGCACGAGTTTCCATGACAGCCCCGGGGGCTGCGCTCCTGTTCAACCGACACATCACGAGCAGGACAACCACAGGGTCATGGCGCTCTGCAGCCGTGGCCCCGGCACCCCTTCCCCATCCCTCCCCCCCCCACACTGACAGCGACAGGCACTCAGTGACCTGGTGGCACCGTCCTTCTCTGCTGGGCTCCCACTGGTGCCGCCCCACGGGGCGGGAGCACGGCTTGCTCTGAGCAAAGCAGGGCACCCTCTAGATGTGGCCGGGGCACGGGGTCCAGGAACACAGGTGTCTAAGGAAGCAATGCCAGCCCCAGGCAGGGGCCTCAGCTGGTGGGAGCGGCATCCGTGCACCAGAGGCTGCAGGTTGGATTCTTGCTCAGGGCGAGCACTAAGGACACTGATCGATGTTTCTGCCTCACATCGATGCTCCTCTCTCTCTCTCTCTCTCTCTCACTCTAAAAATCAATTTAAAAAGCATAGCCCCAGGTGAGAATTAAAAAGAAGAATTCCGCAACTGTTATTTGTCTGAAACCCGAACCCCTCGCACATCCAGTGTACACGTGTGTTTTGGCCGCATCCCGTAGGTGGCAGCGCAGTCGCCACGTGAAGGCCCCTCCCGCGGGGAGCAGCCAGCACCCCGGGCAGGCCCTGCCGGGGACGCCGGGGCGGGCTGCAGCAAGTCGTGTTTGCAAAGCAGCGTTAGCGGACGGAAGCGGTTGCACCATAATGAGTAACCTCTAAATTATCGGTAGTTACAATTAATGACATGTCCCTCTGAGTCGCTCCGCTGCCTGCGGGCGGCCCCGTGAGATCGGCCCGCCCGCTAGGCTGCCTTCTCCGCGGCCTCGGTCTCCTGCTCCGACAGCTTCTCCTCGGACAGCACGGACATCCAGGGCGACACGGGGCGGGCGGCGCTCTGCTTGGCCAGGTTGTAGTGGTTCACCACGGCGTAGAACTTGTCCGGGGAGTGCGGGTCCTGCTCCGCGTAGTAGGCCGCCAGGCCGTTGGGGATGCACTGCGTGTTCTGCAAGACGAGAGGCGTGAGCCGCGTGCACGCGGGGGGGCCCGGCGCGCCCCCATGGGCTCCTGCCCTGAGTCGCCACGTGACGGCGGACCCAACAGGCGGGACCCAGAGGTGCGTGGGCCCCCGGGGGGGGCTCACTGGGAGACCGGCCCTCCCACTTCACGAAAGATCTTATGCGTATTTTAAATCTGGAAAACAACAAAACTTGTCACACCCACCAGGAATAGCATTCAAACAGCTGGGGGGGAGCTTACAAGCAAAGGAGACCTCTGAGGCGGGAAGGGGGATGGGGAGGTGTGGCGAGAGCGAGGAGGAGAGGGACCAGAGGGAGAGCACAGGGAGCCCGGGGGAGGGTCCGCGGGGTGGCCACACTGCAGGGGCTGCTGGGCAGAGGAAAGCTGCCGTCCACAGCACAGAAGTCACCGAGGCCCTCAGAGGACACACACTCTCCTACAAGGAAGAGGCTGGCCCCACAGGCCTCAGCCGGGGCAGGTTTCTGTGAAACGTGGCTCTCCGGACACTTTGTGGGAGACTGGGCTCCTCCTGAGCAGCTACTTCCGAGGGACCGGAACTGGCAAAGGCAGTGCTCATCGCCCGGGCTGGGGGCTGGGGCTGGGAGAGCCAGCTCTGGAGGTGGGCCCGTGCTTTCTGAGGCCGCTCTGAGCCTCTGCTGCCTCCCCTTTAACATGGGCAGTGAGTGCACCTCGGCCCGGGAGAAGCCAGGGCGTGGCCCCGGCCCATGGTGGACAGGACAGAGCTGC